AAATGAATTCTACCCAGCAAATCAAAATACAAATCCCTAGCATAATAGTGACATCACGCAGATTATGCAACTAAATACAATTACATAATGGCTTGGCATGATAACCAGCTCACTTTATAACAGCTTAGAGATCATGAAGCCACAAAAATTTGGTCTCACAAGAAAATTTGTAGATCTGAGTTATCTATACAAAAATTAGCTCCTTAAAATTTTCTTTTTAGATAATTTTTAATGTTAAGTGAAATGTTAAAGATTTCTTTTTCTCTTTTGCTCTAAATTTCTTTTGTCGAAAAGATTTTTTTTAATTTATATATATATATATCTCCTTTTAAAATTTGTAACAAGCAGGCAAGACAAAAACAATTGCAAGCAAGCAATAAAATAATAATAATAATAATAATAATAATAATAATAATAACAAAAATAATAATAATCACTTTAATTTTTTTATTACATTTATTTAATATCCATAAAATTATTCAACATGTTGTAACTTTATATATCTCTAATTGATGAACAAATTCCAGAAGAGATCCTACAACTAACTGACAACCTGTTCACCAAAATTTCATATCTTTACTCTGACTTAAAAGTTGAGATAGATAAAAATGAATACAACTTCTCAATCAAAGTAGATATGAATATTCTTTCACAATGTCTAGCAGAAGTTGAAGCCATACCAGAACCTAGTACAACTCCTGGAGATAGTCTAATGCTCCTGGAGAAATTAATAATAAATGAATTGAAGGAAGCTAAAAATAGAAGAAGATCAGAAACATCACCAATTCACCCGTCAAAAGAAGTGTCATTATTAGCTTATTATGATGATTTGGCTGACAACAAGTATACTATCACTTTAGTAATGTTTGAAATTGGAAGGATTATTTTCTTGATGACTCTTGGCAAATCTCAAAGAACTCAGAATTCAGAGATGCAAAGACTATTTAAAAAGAATATTTCCACAATCAACTTCAAATCTAGAGGATTAATGGCAATAAAACTATCAATACTTTAAGAATGACAAATAGTTGTTACAATATGATAGAGTAGACAAGATATTCAAACCTAATAATATTAGAAAGATAGATCAAAAAACAAGTAATAATTTAAAAAGAAAAATATATAATGAATTTATTAGATAATATTTTAATTTTATTTGTAATTTAATTTTTATTTTTATTTTATAATTTTATTTTATTTTTAATTTTTAAATTTTATTTTTATTTTGTATTCCTTTAACAAAGCTTAGGAATTATATGGAGGAATATGTTATAGTATATTTTATTTGTTATATTTTTATTGAACAATTTATTAGTTATTTTTATTGAACATTTTGTATAATATATTTTATTGAATAATTTATTAATTTATTTTTATTGGACACTTCATATAGTATATTTTATTGAATAATTTATTAGTTTATTTTTATTGAACACTTCATATAGTATATTTTATTGGATAATATTTATTTTTATTGGTTAGTTATTTCTTATTGCTTACATATATTGTATATCAATGTGATAAATATATTGAACCTTCAATATTTTGAACTATTGATCATTAGAGATATTGAACAGTTGATATTTTGAAATATTGATCTTTAAAACTATAGAGATTTTGCTTGTTTAGTGTTATGGATATTTAGAGATCTTTGCAACAATCAATTTTATATATAAGTAGCACTTCATTTGATAGCAAAAAAAATAAGTTTAATACTTAATTTAATTATAAGAAGTTAACAAGTTCTTAATAACAAATTCATTTATTAAATATCTTATAATTACCCTTTGATTTTTAGTATAATTTTGATTATAGACTTGGAATAGTCTATATAATATTGTTATTCTTGTATTATATACTTGTATAATTTATATGCAGAATACTGATAGAGGCAGCAATAGTAAAAAGTATAATAATAAAAAAGTTTTGTTAATAAAACTATCTTGAACTCATTATAATTATAACATATAACTTTCTTAATAATAAACTTAACTTGATCCATTATCTTCTCTTATAATTATAAGAAGAGATCTGTTAAAGATCTTTTGCTATATCAATATTATTAAAAGAACTGGAATAACAATATTTATCTTTTATATTCTTTTTGATTTCTTTTGATCCTTTTTTACTTCTTTTTATTCTTTATTTTATCTTTTTATATTCTTTTTAATTTCTTTACGTCTCACTTTTTAATTCTTTTATATTTTTTTATCTTTATCTAGTACAGTATAATACTTTTTATTACTCTATAATACATGATAAATTTTAATATAAATCAATTTGATTTGATAAATATTCTTATTTTATATTAATAAATTTTGTATAAAAATAATATCTATAGCTAAAAAATAAAATTTTTGTATAAATATGAATATTATTTTAATATATGCTCTCTTATATTTCTCCAATTTTAATAAATATAATCTAATTTACAATATTAATTCTTGTATCGAATATTATATTTATTTTTTATTTTTAAATTTAATTCAAAATAATTAACTAAAATAAATTGAAATCAAATATCAAAGCTTGTTAATTTAAGTTAGTTTTTATTAAGTTTATTTATAATTATTATATCAAGAACATATTTTATGAAATAATTGATTTATTATTGAATATTAATATTTAATTTTGTTATTTTTGATATTATTTAATTAGTTATATATCGCAATTTTAAATAAGTAATTTTTTTTAGTATTTATATTATTTTGATATAATTAAGTATTTTAATTTTAAATAAGTGTATTAGTTTTATTAATATTTTTGTTATTTTAATTAATATTAATATTAATATTTTTATTATTTTGATTAATATTAATATTTTTGTTTAATATTGATAAATGTGAATATAATAGTTCTGCAACCAATATTTTATTGAATAATATAGTTTTTCTTTAGTTATTTCACCTTTTCAAACTTTTTATTTCTTTATATGTGAGATTATTTAACAATTTTTATAAGAATTAGTATATTTATTTTTGCTTTTACTAATTTTAATTTATTCTAATTTGTTCTTTTTCATATTCTTATATAATTATTAATACTGATAATAAAGAAATTTTTTATTATTATATATTTTTAGCATATTTTAATATCTCTTTGTGAACTTTAACTTTATTAACTATTATATTTTATTATATATTTAAAAATACAATATCAAAAAAGAGATTTTTTATTACAATATTAATATTGATGTAATATCTACTTTTCACTTTTTAATATACTAAATGAAGACTTCTTTAATTAGTTTCTTGAAAGAAATACTATTTCTGAATTTTATATTATTGAACTAGTATTTGAAAATATAATTATATTAAATTTAATTATCCTTGATAAAAAAGAATTAAAAAATAAAATAATTTGTCTACTAAATATAATCATATATCAACAATTTTATATAATTAAAATAGTTATATTTTGTTAAAATTTTAACTAATAGCTTTATAAATTAAGAATTTAAAGAAAAATCAAATATATCTAAAAGATATTATTTTGAAACTACAATTAATTTTGATATATTATCTCAATTTTTAGAAGATAATATTATTATCACTTTTACTAATAATACAGATTTTATTTCAAAATTCAATAACTTTTCTAAAATAAATATTTTTATTTACAACATAAACTTCAAAATGACAATTCAACAAGTTATTGATTCAATTAGTAATCTTATTGTTACCTTAAATATTTAAAATAATAAAAAGATCTTAATTTTAATTCACAAATATAAAGATAAAGATCAAGATCCAGTTAAATAATTAAAAAATTTTAAAATTGCTACAATAACAAATGGAATTACTAATAATAAAAAACTACAAATTGTTTATGGATATTTTAAAAGTGCTATTACTTTTTGATTTGATAAATAACAAAATTTATATAATGATGTCTTTCAAAATTGAACCAGTAATAAAATTGATTATACAAACTTTAAATATTCTTGTGAATAGCAATTTCACACTCAACAAAAGTTGGACAAATAACAAGATAAATTAGAAATTTTATAACAAATCAGTTTAATTAAGTATTATATTAATCATTTTAATGAATTAATTAGAAAAGTAGATCCAAATAATGATTATCCATTATCTTACAAAAAAAGATTATATTAATAAGCTCTAATACTAGCACTCAAAAAATGGATAAAGTTTATTAATGTAAATTCAATAACAGAATTCATTGATGCTGCTAAACAAGCTAAAGAAATTGAAAAAGAACTTTCCAATACTTTTACTTAACAAAATCTTTCACAATTATCTTTTGATATTTCTACTCTAATTTCAGTATTACAACAATTAGTAATTCAAATTAATAATATAAAAAACAAAAGACCTACTCAATAACAATTACAAAATTTCAATAACAATCACAATTATTAATATCAGCAATCTACATGTTATAATTGTAATAAACTTGGACATATCTCTAAAAATTGCACTTTATCATTTAACTCTGAGTATTTCAAACAAAATACAAATAAAAATAACAATTCTTGGAGATTTCAAAATATTCAAACTTTAAATCAGAACAATAACAATCAAAATAATAACATCCAAAATAATTAACTAGTCCAATTCAAATAATTCTAATATAACTAATGCTATCACATTATTAACACAACTTTAACCTTTACTCCTGGCTTTGCAAATGTTCACAATCAATCAACAATCTTTCAATGACAACTCTAGAAATACACTTTTATTTATTATTGTATTATATAATTTATAAATAAACACATGTAATCTGAAATTTTTCTTCCCTTCTAAACTATTAGCTAATATCTATCACTTCTAATAAAGTATAAAAAGATTTAAAAAATATAAATTATTATTTTTTGTAATGCGTTTAGATATTAATACAATTACTCGCTGGCGACCACATCTAAATTGGTCATGTGAGTCGTCCCAACAGAGTAATTATTCACGTGATAAAAGAACTGATTTCTTTTTATCCTGTCACAATCATTGAGGATAAAGTTCCCAAGTAAATTAAAAAATATGAAAGACAGAGAGGAACAACTTCAAGAACTTCGTCAGATAAAAGAGCAACTTCGTCAAGCTCAAGAGGAAATTATTAGATTAAAAGAGCAAGCGTTGGTTAACATAGATAATCTTTGGAATAAGTTTGAGGAATACGATAATAAGAGAAAAGAGTATGGTTCAACAGTAGAAAAGCAAACTTCACAACGGGAAAATCGAGCATCATCGCAATTTGGTTGGGGTCAAGCGATAAATCTCGTGCCTGTCTTTTCTCATGCTTATAATTATGGCACAAGTAAAGCTAATGAATTAGTAGAATGTGAACAAAAAGAGCATCGCGAAACCCTAACTAAAGCAACCGACGAAATATATCGGAAAGTTCAGGAATTATATAATCATATCAAAAACTGCTATAAGCAGGAAAAAAAAGATGATTAATTTTTTTCGATACTTCTTCTAAACATTATTTTTATTTTTACTATCATATCTTATCACATACTTATTCAACACACATCTCTTACTGACTGGCATTGATTCTTTAAGCAATTTATATCTCTAATCCTCAAAATCACGGTTCTTAATTACTCCGCAAGTATAGCCATAATTATCTGTATCATATTAAGGCGTGCGGAGTTTTTCGCTTATATTCTTTTCCTTTTCTCGGAAATAATTCAAATATTTCCTTCGCTTCTTTAGCTAACAATCACTGATTACTGTCTTTTCCACCCATTTCTTATTAACCGACAAAATGTTATATCGCTCTAATCATTCTACTAAATCAATCTCCAACGCTTTTTAGTATAAAGACCTTTTTCACACTCTAAACAGATTAACTCTAATAATCAGTCTTTTTTCTCCGTCTTTTTCATAACTACACTGCCGATTAGTTTTTCAGTCAAATGATTTTGTAATTCTTTATTATCTTATTTTTCATAATTAAATGCCAGTGCGATTACCTCTCTAAATGACCGTTCAATTTTCCGAAGAATTATCCACACTCAATTGATCTCTTAATAATTCAATAATTATTCTGATTGCCTGTCTTGGAGATGTTAATCTGGTATTCGCTACCAATTGTTCAATATATACCATCTAGTGTACATAATATGCTAAAAATAAGAACTGGCGCTTACTGGTTAAGTGATGATAACAGAATTCACCTAAAATTTGTTCACAGTAATAGGTTAAAGAAGAAAACAAATGGAAAAAAATCTGAAATTGGCCAATAATTAAAAAGACAAATCATAACTCGACAATCACGTGACTTTGTTACAATTTTTTAAAACAGGAAAACTTTTATGTGATTGGCTGATCTGAATCAATTAACTCGAATACTTAAAGTTTACTAGAATATTATTATTAATAAAAAGTGAAATAGTTATTGTTTTTATTATATAACTATTTACAGTATTCTTCTGATATAGTAACCTTCTTATATAATATAGAAGTATTATTTGATTCTGAAAGCCAATATTTTTTATAAGTATCCTGATACTGATTAATTATTCAAGTTATTTGCCATCTGGAGAATCCAGTTATTTATGTAAAGTTTATATTTATTGTGAATATTATTTTGTTTTTTTTGTCATAATTTATAGAAAATAATAATATTATAATTTTTTTGGTTTTGTTATTTAAAAGTTATTTTTAAATAATAAACTCATTTGACAGATACAAATAAAAATTCTTTGTTTTTATATTTTAAAATATTTTTCAAGCAAAATAAGATTTTATGAAATTTACTTTATTTCTAAATTCTAATACTATTTTTATATTAAAGCTAAGAAATATAATACTTGTTAGAAATAATTTATTTTCCTTAACTTTTAATATATCATATATAATTTTCTGAGCATAAAAAATATTACAAATAATAATTATTAATATCTTTTATAGATTGGTAAAGCTTTTATATCAAGTATTGTATATTTATACTTTAAATATATATATATATAATAAGTTATTTTATAACATATATTTCAATATTTAATAATCTAATTTTTAATATTTAATAATTCAATTTGAACAAATATACAATTATTTGATTTGTTTAATCAAGATTAAAATGAAATTGCAATTAGTTATAACTTGATTGCAATTTTCTAATTGGTTATTATAATTAATTGCAATTAAATCACAATTTTCTAATTGAGTACTGCAAGTTGCAATTAATTGAAATTTCATTTTTAGTTAAAATAAATTAAATAATAGTATTTTTGTTCAAATTAGATTACTAATTATCAAAATATTATATCTAAAATAGTTGATTCATTTTTTTGGAATTTACAAAAATTAATTAGTCAATTTAAAACATGTTATTTCAATCTTTAGTAATCTAATTAAACAAAAATAATATTATTCAATTTGTTTTAACTAGATAAATCAAATAATATATATAATTTTTATTCAAATTGAATTATTAAAAATTGAGATATACTAATATATTATAAATTAATCAATTCATTTTTTTGGTAATCAATTTCTAATTAAAAATTAATCAATAAATATAAATCAAAATACAATATTTCAATATTTAGTAATTTAATTTGAGTAAAAATATTACTATCTAATTTTTTTAATTTAGACAAATCAAATAATAATATTTAACTCAAATTGAATTGCTAGATATAATCAAAACTCTCTATAATTATATCTATTTATAATCACATCTCTTTATAATCATTCTATTTTACTTTTCTATTTACATATAAATATAGTAAAAAAATTTCTTTATAGTATCACCATCCATCATTTTCCTTGATCATCTGAAATGAAATATCATCATATTCCAAGTGATATTTAATCAATTTCTATTTATAAATATTTATTTATTTATCTATTTACTTTTAATTATCTTTTATTTATATTTAGTGATATTATAAATTATCAATTACTTTATTTATTTATTATGCAATTTTTATTAATTATTAATTATTATATTTTATTAGTTCTTAATTTCTAATTATTAATCTATTTAATTTTGATTATTAATTTATCTTTGATTATTAATTTATCTAATTTATTTAATATAATGTCAATATTTTATTAATTTTATTTGTAATTAGAATTCCAAAAAAAAGTCTGGTTCAGTTCAAGCTTGAACTGAATTCAAACCTGATAAAAAGTCCAGTTCAAAAATTTGAACCTAATTAAAAGTCTGATTTGAGTTTGGTTCAAATTTTGAACCAAATTTGAATTTGACCAAGAGTTTAGTTCAAGTTCAAGTAATTATTAGTTAATGTTCTAAATAAAGTTGTAGATCGTAACATGAGCTATAAATTAATATAAGATAGTTAATATTTAGGATAAATATTTAAGAAGTTATATGAATTTAAAAAAT